ACTGTGGCCTAGCCAAGTTGACATATAAAAGTAACCAGCACATGAACATAAAGTGTTCTTGCCAACAAAGTTGAACCTGAATCCGATCAAGCCTCCAGAGCTAACTTTTCTTAATAAGAAATATGGGAGAAAGTGTAATAAGTTAAATGAGAAAACAAGATGTCGAAGTGATGAGGCTTCTTCAATGTATCAGTGGTATGAAAGAAAGAAGGAAGGAGGGAGGGGAATAAGGAAGGAAAGGAAAAGGAGGGGGATCTGCCCACAACCAAGAGGTTTAAGAGATATAACAACCACAGGTGATGTATTGAATTAGTTTGGACTTATTCAAACAAATCAATTGTAAAACGAAGTTTTGAAACTATTGGAGACATTTGTTTATGGAATAGAAATGACCAAGAAATGAAGTTGTTGTTAGTTTCCTTTAGATGTTATTATGGCATTTGTGATTACGTATGAAAATGTCATTTTTATTTTAAGGAATTCACTCTGAAATACTCAGGGCTGTAATGACAAAATGTATGGAAATTGCTTTAAAATACTTCAGTAGAAGTAAAAACAAGAATTGAAAGGGGTAGGTGAAACAAAGGTAGCAAACTCTTGATAGTTTTTGAATCTTGTGCTGGGAATGGAAGTTTACTGTACTATTTTTTCTTCAGGCTTAAAAATTTTCATAATAAAAATTTTAAAATACCTTGTAAAAGAAAAATAATAGAGGGGCAGGGCATTTACTCCCCCAGATATCAAAACATACTATACATCTACATAATTAAACAATGTGATTTTAACTTGTAGAAGGCAGATCAGTAGAAAAATATAGTCAAGAAGAGACATATTTGTGTAGGAAAATTTAGTTTAATTTTGAATCAATAGAAAAAAGAATGGATTATACAATAGGTGATGTTGGAACAATTGGATATCCACTTAGAAAATAAATTTAAACAGTCAAGAGCTAAGAAGCAAATCTTTAAATTTTAGGTAAAGCCTTCTGCAGTGTGACACAAAACTCTAAATCCATAAGGGTAATTATTGCCAGATTCGAACTTATTAAAATATTTAACTTCTGGGGGCTTCCCTGGTGGCGCAGTTGTTGAGAGTCCGCCTGCCGATGCAGGGGACATGGGTTCGTGCCCCGGTCCTGGAGGATCCCGCATGCCGCGGAGCGGCTGGGCCCGTGAGCCATGGCTGCTGGGCCTGCGCGTCCGGAGCCTGTGCTCCGCAACGGGAGAGGCCACAACAGTGAGAGGCCCGTGTACTGCAAAAAAAAAAAAAAAAAAAAAAATTAACTTCTGAACAATTAAAAAGCCATAAATATAAAGCACTGATGCAAGGATTGGAGAATGTTTTGCCATAATAGACAGAGGATTGAGAGTTTGGATATTTGTGGAGCTCCTTCAGAAATCAGAACAAGAGAAATTAATCAAAGGAAAAGTATGCAAAGATCTGGATAGCCCACAAAAGAAGAACTAAAAATATATGCAAACAAATGGGGGACTATTAATAAACATTTGAAATGATGTTCAACCTCATTTTTAATCTAAGAAATGCACATTAATATAATATAGCTTTCATCTAGCAGATTGTCCAGACTTAAAAGCGGGGGGAATTCCCTGGTGGTCCAGTGGTTAGGACTCCGAACTTCTATTGCAGGGGGCCCGGGTTCGATCCCTGGTCAGGGAACTAAGATTCCACAAGCCGCGAGGTGTAGCTTAAAAAAAAAAGCCAGGCGATGTCCAGTACAGATGAGGCTCAGAGAAGTCTGCAACCTCACATATTGTTGGTTGGAAAACAAATTGGTAAAGTTCTTTTGGTGGCAACTTGGTAGTTCCTTTCAAAAATCTTTAAAAAGCAAACTCATTGACCAAGCAATTCTACTTCTAGCAAAACCTTTTTTAGAAATACTCTCACATGTAGAAATACTCTTTCAAGGTTGTTAGCAACCAATTAGAAATCCACTATAATAAGTCCTTAATGACCCAATAAATTTTGATACTTCATTGCCAGGAAATATTATCTAATAATTAGAAGGTAGAATTAAGGAAACCTATATTCACTGACACGGAAATATTCATAATATTGAATTAAGTGAAAAAAAGTCAGCAAATTTTATCCTGAGTTATGCTCTTTGTTAAAAAGCTGCACTTGACCACAAGAATCTATATTTGAACTTTAGCATCTAACAGGAAAAGACCTTCCTCATTTGTCCCAAACAAAATTTCTTTTGCTTCATGAGGGCAGTACAGGCTGAGCTTTGTGTTTTGTGATTTTTTATGGAGTCCTAGCTGCTGTTGATTTTGTCCTTAATTTTAGGGCAAGTGGATCATGATTAAGTCGACTGTCAGGACTCACAAACTAGCAGTCAGTGCTGTTAAGATACTGCATGGAGCTGTGTCTGGAAGGCCTTAGCATTGTCAAATGGCTCTACATGCTTTCAGGCAGAGGGTTAGGATGATGTTCTTCCAATAAGCAGAGTAGACCCTCTCCCAATTTTAAGAGTAATAAATGTTTCATGATTAGAGAGCTACAAAGGAATTGGAAAAGCCAAGATTTCCTTGTAGCATTGAAACTTCATTGGCAACCTGGGAAGGCAGAAATTAATTCAAACGGCCAAACTATCTACCATCTTGGATTTTTTGTAATAGATCATTTTCTATTATCTCATTCTTTCCCTGTCAAGCTTGATAGAGCTTGATAAAGCTTGCTTTACAAAATTTCAAAACTGTAAAAAGCTTTCCTTATAAATAACACTGTTAAACTTGTTACTTTGCTCTCTTCATTAAAAAATGACATCCTAGGGAACTATGTCTACTTAGTTTTAGTAATTTAAAAGGTTTTATATAGTATCTCATGATCCAGATTATAGAAATTAGAAACATTTATTTATGTTTGAATATCATTTTTCAGTTTTCCCAAAATTTAGTTTCAAATATCCAAATCTTTAAAGTGAGGAAACACTGGGTTATTGCTCCAAATATCGATGCTTGACAGATCCCATGTCATTAATGATAACAGGTTTTAGAAAAATTTGAAATATAGGGTGTAATCAGAAGGGCATATTTCAGTAAACTTTTTGAGCATCTCTTGTTTCCTTGTGAATTTTGACCTCAGGTTACTTTAGAAATGCATACTGCTGCTTCAGGTATTGCTCTGCAAGTTTGAATAGGCATTTATTCTCAGGTGCTCTGTCTTCTCTGGCATACAAAATTACAGGGTTCTTATATAATATCAAAAAAGTAGAAAGCTGTGGGAGTTACACAATTTTGTTATGTCAAACAGGAATACATTAAGGCTTACTGTTTGGTAAAGTTAAAAATGCATTTGCTGAAATTACTGGAGAAATTCAATTACAATCATGTCAAAAAAAAAAGTAAAAAAGAAATGAAGTGTGACTACCTAAAATTATTTTAGTCCAGTTCATGAAACAGAATTTTATATTACTACCTTATTGCCTCTCCTCCAAAGTTATTTTGCACATAGATTTTAATAAAATAGATGTTTGCAGTGGGAGAAAATACTGTTAATCAGGGGCTGCCCTAAAACATTTTGCTTCATGAAATTTAAAATGTTACTAAAAGAAAATCTCCATACATGATACAGACATCCTTATTTTAGAAAATAGTAATTCAAATGACATTTTAACTTTTTATTAAATGTTTAATCTTACGTACATATATTCAATTATGCTGTTGTAACGCTGGGAGGTGTGTTGGTGCTATCACTTGCCAACTGAGTAGAAGTGGCCGTCTCCCTTGGAGAACAGTGTAAGAATAGTTTTCAAAAGATGCAGCGCCACGTTTTAGCTCTTAATACTGAGATTTTAAATTATCTGGTCAGAGTAGGAGTGGACTTAAATTTGGGCACATGATTTTTATTTTCTTTGACTATGTATCAAAATGTGGCAACAAACTGGCAGTGCATGGGCCGGATACAACCTGTAGACATGCTTTATTGAGCCAACAAAATGTTTTTTCCAGAGACTTAGAGAAGGCATTTCAAAATACAGAGATTTCACATAAAATCTGGATTCCAGAATTTTCTTGAGAATCCAGAGGGCTTGGCGCTCAGGCTCAACATTCTGTGGCAGCCACTACTCAGAGCAGGCAGCCTCTCTT